GTTATTGCGCAGTGAATCTGTCTGCAGTAACTGGCCCTTGGGGCACAACTCCGATGTTGGCTATTATGCGCCAGTAAGTGCCACATGGGGCTTTGCTTTGCTAATCTTTGATGTGCTACGCAATGCTACGCCAATGAGTTTCAGGGCGAGAGAAGCCTATTGACCTGGTTGATCTGCACCGCTCTCTCACAGGCCAGCCTTAAGAAATTCATGGACTACATCCAAACCAGCTCAGTGGACAAGATGGTTAAGTTCCTGGAGAAGGGTCTGGACCCAAACTACCAGGACGCAGATACCGGGGGTGAGAGGCTGACCTGAACTATCCTTCTAGATCACCATGTGTGATTTGTTCAAATACATCTACTCAATCACACATCTATCCACCCATACACCACCCATCCATCCATCCACCCATCCAACCAACCATCCATCCATACACCCACCCATCCATCCGTCCATCCATCCATCCATCCATCCATCCATCTATCCATCCATCCATCCATCCATCCATCCATCCATACACCCACCCATCCATCCATCCATCCATACACCCACCCGCCCACCCATCCATCCATCCATCTATCCATACACCCACTCATCCACCCATCGGTCCATCATTCATCCATCCATCCATCCATACACCCACCCACCCACCCACCCATCCATCCATCCATCCATCCATCCATCCATCTATCCATACACCCACCCATCCACCCATCCATCCACCCATCCGTCCATCCGTCCATCCACCATACATGTGTTCTTTTTACCCGCATTCAAAAACCAAACCCTCGGTTTCCCATTCATTTTTCTTTGTATCTCTGTTTTGATTTGGTTGGCCCCTTCGCCACATTTGTCACAAATTTAAATCCATTTTCACAGTTTGCGCACCCCCCCCCCCCCCCCTCCAACCTGTTAACATAACAGGGCTGCAGAGCCTTCGCCTACGTCTTTGGTCGTGCCTGCCTGGAGAGTGTGAGGCAGAGTGTCGAAACACGGCAGCTGGCGCTCCCAAAACACAACGTCTTGTGTTTTCTCTGGAGTTTGCAAACATTTTATTTTAAACTGTACTCCACTAGATGGCGCCAAAGAGTGTTACAAAAAAAATGATTTTATGAACCCGAAACCCACTGATGTGTGTGTGGTGTGTGTATTGTGTGTATTGTGTGTATTGTGTGTGTGTTGTGTTCTCCACAGAGACGCCACTGACCCTGGCTGTGCAGTGTGAGCCGGGGGGAGGCGAGGCCATCAGGGTCGTGGTGGAGGGAGGCGCTCACATAGACTTCCGGGCCAAGGATGGCCTCACCCCCCTGCACAAGGCGGTCCGGAGCCACGGGCACACCGCCCTCCTGGTAAACACACACTCACATGTCTACTTATTTACCTTTCAACCTTTCATGTCCTGTAGACACATTTTAACATGTGTGGATGCTTAGACAGGAATTATATCATTTATCATTTATATGTCATTTATATGTAGTACATATGAATATGATAATGTTTTTTTGTCATTAATGTTTTTGTTGTATAATATTTGTGACTCCAATCAGAACACACACATGCTTAAAAGTGCTGTAGGTATTATTTAAGAGTAATTATTTGAGTGTCTTTTTTTAGAAATGTCAAAGCCATCCGTCAGCTATAACGAGTGAAATGCTCTGTGAGAATATCTGTTTTGAGTGGACTGCACCTGCCTCTGTATGAGACAATTTCGATTTGAGACCGCTCCCGGCTCATTTCTGACCAATCAGGGCGTGACTTCCCGTGATTGGTTCGGGGAATCCATCTTGCCTGTCAATCACAGGTGCGTGAAACGCAACACTTGTCAATGGCGGCGGAACGGAGGGAGGGAGCAGAGAGGGAGGGGACTTTTTCTTGGTTTAGTTTCAAAGTCCCGCTCTCTTCCGCTCTTTTCTGCTCTATCTCTTTATACTCTTGAATCTTGCCTACAGCAGCTTTAGTATGTTTATTAAGACACATGTGTGAATGAGGAACAGTCATGCTGTGCTATTTTCTAATAGTGCTGCTTCATACATGTTGTGCGTTGGGCTATACAAATAAAATGGACTTGACTTGACTTGTGCAGAGAAGTTGGACCAATGACGTCATTGTCCCAAGTCGGACCAATTGGAGATCCCAAATCCTGGACCAATGATGTCAATGGTGCAACATCTCCTCAGTGTTTTCTGTGGAAACAGAGTTAAAGTTGCAGACTGCAATTTGTTCACAGCACGCGTATGAAGCAGGACTTCGAAAATAGCCGAGCATGATGGTTCCCCTTTAATGAATGGTGAACTGATGTCCCCCCCCCTACCCAGGCCCTGCTCTCTATGGGGGCGTCTCCAGACTACAAGGACCGCCGGGGGCTGACGCCGCTGTACCACACGGTGCTGACAGGGGGCGACACCTCCTGCTGTGAGACCCTACTCTACCACCGCGCCCAAGTGGGCATCAGGGACGAGAACGGCTGGGACGAAACGCACCAGGTAGGGCCGTGCACATGTGTGCGTGTGTCCAAATATACCCACTTGCTACTGTTTCAGCCATCATTTCATTACGTATATGTCTCCTGACTTCTCACTCGTTTCTGCCCATCTCTCAATCAATGTCTCTCTCTGTCTCTGTCTTTCTCGCTGTCTCTGTCTCGCTCTGTGTCTCTCTGTCTCTTTTTCTCTCATATATATGGTCCCAGGCAATGGATCCTTGTTTTTACTATCTTCATCATCGTCATCATCGTCATCGTCATCATCATCATCATCATCATCATCATCATCATCATCATCATCATCATCAACACCTTCATCGTCTTCAGAACCACACCACATGTAATTCGTTCAGTGTGTGTGTGTGTGTGTGTGTGTGTGTGCGTGCGTGTGCATAGTGCATTAGTTGTAGTAGTAGTAATGGTTCTTCTTGCAGATGGTTTCAAAACTTCTGTCTCTGTCTCTGTCTCTGTCTCTCTCTCTCTCTCTCTCTCTCTCTCTTCACACCCAGGCTTGTCAGAATGGCAACTCCCAGCACCTGGAGCACCTTCTCTTCTACGGGGCGGACTCCTCTTCCCAGAATGCATCTGGGAATACTGCCTTGCACATCTGTGCCCTCTACAACAAGGTTAGACTAATAGACTAACATAATCCTACACAATAACTGCACACACACACACACACACACTACATTTTTGCAATTGTGTTTTTTTTGTTAACATGACTTGCACGCAGGAAAGCTGTGCACGGATCCTGCTGTACCGTGGAGCCAGTAAGGACATGAAGAACAATAACGGACAGACGCCCTTCCAGGTGAGGTACTAGAGCGGCGCAGTGCTACCTGTGGGTGTGGGACGGCCTGTAGTGTTTTAAACACTTAATAAGGACAACGTAGTGTAGCGAACCTGGGGGGACAAGTGGCTATTATCCACCACCACATGCCCCCCCCCCCCCACACACACACACATACACACATACACACACACACACACACTTCCCTGCTTAACCAGAAGACATTAACATTTCCAGCACAGAAGAGCTGTGAGTTTTCCTGTGTGCGCTTGTGTGTGTGTTCGCGCGCGTGTGTGCGTGTGAATGTGCGATAGAGGAAAAGAGTGTGTGTAAAAATCGACTTGATTGTGTAGTGATCTCTACATCCTCCCAAGCATTTGTGCGTTCAGTGTAAATAACAGTATGGAAACCAGTCCTATGTGTGTGTCTGTGTTGGTTTAGGTGGCCGTGATGTCTGGCCATTTTGAATTGGGAGAGATTATCAAAAACCACAGGGATACAGATGTGGGTAAGTAGCCACGCTCTGATCTTTATTATTTGACATATGGAGGGTTATACAATAATTCAAATAATAATAGCATAGAGTTTGAAAAACAAAAGGTAACCTAAATATCATGGTGTGGTGTATTCCCATTTTGATCTCCCTCTCCCCTAATCTCTCTCTCTCTCTCAGTGCCATTCCTGGAGTCTCCAAAGTTTGCCCCCCAGAGGCGAGAGAGTGGGCGGAGCCTGGCCGTGCCCCACCCCCACCCCTTCCTGAGGGCCAACAGCGACAACAGCATGAACCTGCCTGAGTGGATGGCGGTGCCCAACGCCCCGGGGTCCAACATCGTGTCTGTCCAGGTAGGCTGAGCACAGCAGCCAGCTGCAGCCACGCAGGTACACGCACACATACACATTAGTCATCTAGAGGAGCAAAGTCACATTGAAAGACAGAAAGTAACCTGCAGGTACTGTAAGTCAAGGGAAATGAATTGAAAATAGAAACATTTACCATATGTAGAGGATGTCTGTTTTTAAAATGAAAGAATAATGTAATGTCATGTAATCTATTCCAATCTCATCCAATCTGATCTGCTCTAATCTGATGTAATCAAAGTGCTGAATACAAGTCATATAATCATGTCATAAAATCTTGTAATGTAAGGTCATATAAAGTATAATACATTTGTTTTTACATTTTATAAAAACATTTAACATTCTGCTCTAAAATTGTAATCTATATCTCTCTATTCTCTATCCATCTAATGTCTTTCCGTCTGTCTGTCTGTCCATCATCCAACCCTCCATCCATCCCTCCATCAGGGCTTTAAGCATACTGGCACCCTGAGGAGCTCCAGCAGTCCCCGGGGGGCCAGGACGCGCTCTCCATCCCGCGGCCGCATCGGAGACAAGGAGGACCGGAGTCGACAGAGTCGCAGGCAGGGGTGGGGCTTCTGCTCATCTTATCTGGTGCTAGGATAATGAAGGAGGAATGAAACAAAACTGAGTTGGTTATAGGGGTCCCTTTCATGCCTTGTCGAGATCAGAAATAAATCTAGTGGCTTTCATCATTTTCATTCAGATGTTTTAGAGCGCTAATGCGACCGGCGAGGCTGGCAGCGACTCTCCTTGTGTCACGGAGGGAGTGAGGGAATCCCTGTCACTCGCATTTTTTTACCCAACTCACTGTTACTAAACTATTCAGTTATTTATCGGACACGCAAGGTTTGCCTACAGGTATACTGCACACATTGGGGATCGAACCCAGAACCTTTTGGCTGGTAGTCAAACACCCTGACCACTACACTATCATACACAATAATCTTAATAATAATAATTATTATGATTCTTCTTCTTCTTCTTCTTCTTCTTCTTCTTCTTCTTAGTATTACTATGTATTATTATTATTATACAGATTAGCAACAGTGACGATTGGTGTGATTGAACGCTCCCCCCCCTTCTGCAGACCGATCCCTGTCATGGCGCCCACGGCGGGCGCGGGGCAGCGGCGGCGGCTGTACAGCGCCGTGCCAGGCCGCGTGTTCGTGGCCACGTGCGCACACTCCGCCCAGGGCGAGCGGGAGATCAGCTTCAACAAGGGGGACAGGGTGAAAGGTGTGTGCTCAGCGTCCCGCTCCTTGTTTGAATAGCAACATGTGTGTGTGTGTGTGTGTGTGTGTGTGTGTGTGTATAATGTGTATGTTACATACATTATGTCCTCTGTGTAAAAACCCTAAAAAAGGTTGTGTGTTTTGCACCGGCGGTGAGTCCATTATAGTCCTTCTCCAAGTGTGTTGTGGTGTGTTTAGCGGTCAGCCATTGTCCTAAATGTGTAATGCCCTGTTGGAGTTGTCACATGCCCCCATCGTAACATGTGTGTAAGGTCCCTCTATATGTGTCTGTGTTCAATGTCTGCAGGTATGAATATGTGTGTGTTTGTGAGTAAGTCTCAGGTGTCTCCAGGTATGTATGTCTTGGTGAGTATGTAGGGGTTTGCATGCCGGTGTGACTGAGTGTGTGTGTGTGTGTGTGTGTGTGTGTGTGTGTGTGCGCACATGTGTATATGCCTGTGGGTGGGTGTGTGTGTGTGTGTGTGTATGTGTGTATGTGTGCCTGCTTTTGTGTGTGTGTGTGCGTGTATACCTGCTTGTGTGTGTGTGCTTGTGTGTGTTTGCGTGTGTGCTTGTGTGTGTAAGTGCATGTGTGTGAATGTGCGTGCGTGTGTGTGTGTGTGTGTGTGTGTGTGAATGTGCGTGTGTGCGCGTGCGTGTGTGTGTGTGTGTGTGTGAATGTGCGTGTGTGTTTGCCTGCGTGCTTGTGTGCGTAAGTGCATGTGTTTGCGAGTGTGTGTGCGCGTGTGTGTGTGTGAATGCACGTATGTATGTGAAAAAGTATGTGTCATTTTTGTTGTCTTTTTCATGTTGTCCGTACAGTACACGTCACCTTTTTGTGTCTTCCTGTGTATGTGTGTGTGTCTATATGTGTGTGTGCGTCTCTCTCTTGCGGCGCTGCCTGGTGCACACGTGTTGACGTGCACGTCTGTGTCCTGGTTGCGCTAGTGCTGAGCATCGGCGAGGGCGGCTTCTGGGAGGGGACCGTGAGAGGAAGGACCGGCTGGTTCCCCTCCGACTGCGTGGAGGAAGTGGCTCTCCGTAGTCAAGACAACCGTTCAGGTGAGCGAAGCCGCGCAATCGGTGCGATACATCACTGTGCCGACTCCTCTACCAAAAGTGGGAGTGAGTTACAGTCAGCGCATAATGTCAGCAGGTCGTGGAAACGGACTGTAAATAACATCCTGGGAAGGGAACGTTGACAATGCTCACTAACAGTTTGATGATATTATGGAAATTATTATGGAAATGCATTTATGCGATAATTTTAACTGCGTTAAGATCATAATGAATGTGAGTGTGGACAGATTAACACATTGTGATTTGTGCTCACTCAATTCGATTTAATTGTGCGTGTGTAAACACCTCCGGGCTCATTCTGTGTTTTTAATTTTACACCTGCGCCAGATACACCATGTTTACGCTATCCGACATCTAATAGACAACCAGAAGGAAAAGAGACTGTGAAATGTTATTAATGCATCCCTATTTATGATGCTGTATAGTTCTTACTCCTCATAGCGGTGGAAGTAGTAGCATCACCACTACCAGTACCACTATAAGCTAGAACTGCTAACAGTAATTCTAGCTTATAGGTAGTAAAATTACACATTTTATTACAAACAGTAATATCTGTAGTGTGTAGTCCTTTTTAAATTAATAAAAATACTACATGACGGCTGGGCGATATGGCCAAAAATGTCTTTCCCGATATAGGTAATTTAATATCTTGATAACGATATAGATCACAATATCGCATGTTTTCTAGTAATTCAATATATAAATAGTCTGTATAAAATAACCACATGGTAAAGCCTATTTCTGTATACTCCTGTGTGAATTAAATACTTGACAAATGAAAAGTACCGAGTATTTGCTCATTTTCTTCATCACTTTACTGTAATGTAGTCTTTAAAACCAGGAAAAGACAACACTTGCCATTTCACGATATTACGATACCCAAAATCTAAGACGACATCTAGAGTCATATCACGATATCAATATCATATCGATATATTGACCAGCCCTAAGGCCAGTAGCTGAAGAATGAATATTGCTACTCATGGCTTAGTAATTACAACAGTAGTAAAATAACTAAATACTAACAACACATTGATGCAGTTTACACTAACAGTAACAATATCTAACTCTATGTTTCTATGGTTATTAGACGTGTAGCGTGTGTCCTGACATGTGTTTGTGTCACTGCTGTGTCTCAGAGAGTCGAGGAGACCGGGCTAAGCGTCTCTTCCGCCATTACACCGTGGGGTCCTACGACAGCTTCGACGCGCCCAGGTATGAACAAACACACTTTATTTTTGGTCTTTTTAGGGGAAGGTGGGGGGGGGGGGGTCGCAAAGCTTATCATCTGGGTTTTTCTTGATAAAAGGTCTGGTGGTTTTCCTCACTGTGTTGGTTTGGTTTCAGAATATGTATTTTTGGACAGTCTTCTGTGTCTTGGGATGAAGGAGATTATAAAATGGGGTATGCTTGGCGTCAGGGTGTCGGCGTGGCGTTGCATTTAAGAAGATCACTGAACCAAGTTGATTTGAATTGGAAAGCAAATCTGCACCATTGGCATTTTTTTTACTTTGAAATAACTCCTATATAAAAATGACTTGCATGGGATTGACTTATTAGGACTTTAATTGACTTATTGTTTCACAGTGGATTGACTTTTACAGAAGCGTTTTTCATGCAGGGTTGTGTGCTCAACATCCATGCTCTTTACATAGTAACGTCCTGGTTTTACATTGTACTTGGAGCACTCATGGTGGCACTCATAATTACACTTGTAGTTGTACTTGTAAGAGGACTTGTAGTTGTACTCATAATCACACTTGTAGTTGTACTTGTAAGAGGACTTGTAGTTGTACGTGTCAGCAGTGTCGTAGTTTGAGCGTAAATTGGCTGATTCCATTGAGTCTGGTGATTTTTCCGCAGACCGTAACTATATTCAATATTGAATCATAAGAAGATTAATAAGGTTTTTTTCTAAAACATTTTAAATTAAAGTACTGTCAATGGCGGAACACTGTTTCTACCTCTTCAATTCACCCATTTAGAATGCCAGGTTCTATGAATATGAAACTTGGGAACAGATGCCATCTCCCCTTCCCGTCCCACTCCTACTCCTACTCCTCCCACCATTGACATAAACCTGCCAAATAAGTTGAATTACCATATATTTGCACATAGGGTCAGTGATAGGTTCAGTCTATTTTGTGCATAATCAAAAATTGTTGCTCACACGTTCAAACGTGCTGTGTATAGAGAAACCATGCGTGAGTGTATGTGTGTGTGTGTGTGCGTGTGTGTGTGTTTGTGTGTGGGGTGGGGCCCGGGGGGCGCGTGGGGCGGGGGGGGGGGGTCTTTAATGCAGCAACCTTTCAGTTCAAAAGCACATTTTGCCCCATTTTCCGCGCGATACTTTCCAAAGAGAAGCCGAGGACTTGTATTGTGCTCCAGCGTAAGGTCTCGCCGAGAAGATCTAGCATGAGTCAGAGGCGGTACGGTGACTCATGTGTTGTGTGCGGTGGCACACTTTCATGCGCTGTGAATTCTTTATGCAACGGAATAGCGCTCCTGCTTAGTGAGTTTCCCCGGGAATTCAGCTGACACCCTCTGATACGCTCTCGCCGCGCGACAAAGCCCGGTCCCGGTCCTGAAGTTGAAAAAAACGAACCCGCAGGGGCTCGTTTTCTCCTTTGACTTGTTTAACCTCGCAAACGTCCAAATTTGATATCCGCAACAGAGTTATGTCAGGATATGAGAGCGCTCCCCTCCCGGCTCCGCCTGTGTGTGTGTCTGTCTGTGCCTTCAGAAGTGCTGTGCAGAACTCCCCGTGTTGCTAGGCTGCAGTGCAAGGTGGGCTGAATTCGTCATTAATACGAGTGAAGACAATCCCTTTTTTTTTTTTTTGGTGACTAATCCTGTGGCCGGGCGTGAGGCGGCGGCGGCGGCGGCGGCGGCGGCGGTGGCGGCGGCGGCGGCCTGCTCGCTGATGGAAGCAGGCGTTCAGAATTCAGCGGAGGAGAAGCGTTCGTGACCGCTGATACTGATACCCCCCTTTTCCACCGACGTGAACCTGGTTCTAGTGCTGGGCTGGTGCTGGTTCCCGGTGCGCAGTGGGTTCAACCTGCGAATCGTCTCAGAACCGGTTTGCTTTCCCACAGAGAGCCACGTCATCACGCCGCTCTATACGTCTCTCGCTTTCTCAGAAACGCTTGCGCCGACTTCATGCGCGGTAACGACGATAGCGGACTACATCGTCTCTTTACAAATGTTGCTCCTGGCTTTGCGAGCCTACATCGGCGTCCAAACACGACTGGTAAAACACATTTGTGCTACTCGTCTTGATTGCTATGGATGGCGATTATGATAGTGTAACCGGCTGTTGATAGGTTCGCCTAACTGGGTTTCAATAAATTAATAAATGCACAGAGCATCCAGTTGAACATCAGTCAAACGCTTTATTAACATTTGTACACTTGTACACTCCCTCTCTCTTTCTCTCCCCCCCCCCCCCCCCCCCCCCCCCGCCCCTTTCTCCTACAGCAAACTGAGGGATACAATCAACAGGGACTAACATATAATTTGTTACGATAGTAATCGATGTGATTCCATAGTGAAGCTCTGTGTTTTTAAAAAAAAATGGCGGTCACAATGTTTTAGTCGGCCTTGTTGGTCACGATAATCCCGCCCCT